AATGGGATAGTTCATAGGTTCCCCCTCCCTCCTCACGTCCCTTCTTCCCTCTCTCTGTCATTCTGCCTTTCTTTAACAACAACAAAAAAAATTCTACTTATTTTTATTTATTTGAAATGCAGATCAGATTTACAGAGAGAAGGAGACAGGGAGAAAGGTTCACTCCCAAAATGGCCACAACAGCCAGAGCTGAGCCAATCTGAAGCCAGGAGTTTCCGGGTCTCCCATGCAGGTACAGGGTCCCAAGGCTTTGGGCCATCCTCAACTGCTTTCCCAAACCACAAGCAGGGAGCTGGATGGGAAGCGGAACAACCAGGACATGAACTGGCGCCCAAGTGGGATCTCAGCATTTGCAAGGCGAGGATTTCGCCATTGAGCCATTGCACAGGGTCCCACTCTGCCTTTGAAGTACATATATTCTTTTTTTTTTTAAAGATTTATTTTTATTATTTTGTTATTGGAAAGGCAGATATACAGAGAGGAGAGACAGAGAGGAAGATCTTCTGTCCGATGATTCACTCCCCAAGTGAGCGCAACGGTCGATACTACGCCGATCCGAAGCCAGGAGCCTCTTCCGGGTCTCCCACGCGGGTGCAGGGTCCCAAAGCTTTGGGCCGTCCTCGACTGCTTTCCCAGGCCACAGGCAGGGAGCTGGAAGGGAAGCGGGGCTGCCGGGATTAGAACCGGCGCCCATATGGGATCCCGGGCGTGCAAGGCGAGGACCTTTAACCTCTTGCGCCACCGCGCCGGGCCCGAAGTACATATATTCTTTAGGTGCTGCGCCAATGCAATCTTGCCAGTCCCACTTAGAATCAGAATCACAGCAAGCTCCTAGATCCTGCTTGCCAGTCCATTATCAACTTTAGAGTGGCCTTGTTCACCGAACTAGTGGCCTGGATCACTTCTTTAGCTTTGGGGGGTGGGGGGGTCTGTATACCTGGAGTGGAACTTATAAAATACAAATGATGCCGGAAGTCTGCTAAATCAGTGCGTGGGGCACATCCGCCCACTGGAGCTTGATCTGCTAGGAATCTAGCCAGAAGAATCTGGGAGAGACAACCTCCTGGAAGACAGCAAGCCCAGCCCACCTGAGAACCTGGGACGCCAAAACGCGGGTTGTTGATCAGAGGAGACAGGAGCTGGCTGGAGCTGAAAAACCTGGCTGGCAGTATCCTGGGGTGGTGTGTGTGTCGGAGGGACGCCGGGGGGGGGGGGGGGGGGGGCGGTGAGAAGCACTATGCAGCACTTCTTTCTCAGGTGCCCTCCCTGCCCCACCCCCACCCACCCTGCTGCCTGTCCTAGTCCTCCCTGGCCCACCGAGGGCCTGGTTTGTTGGCGGCCTTTGAAGGCTCTGCGGTTAGTGTGTGAGCTCCTCTCGTTGCCAGGGCTGAGCAAACAGGAAGCGGGCACATCCTGCGCGCCGACCTGGGGGGTGGGGGGATTGGCGCAGATAAGTCGCGGCTGCGCAGGTCTAGGAGGTATTGCGAGCCCCCCACCCCCACCCCCAGCGTCCAAGCCCCAAGGCGCCAAGAATCCCCGGGGCGCACCTGCTGGGGTCGTTGCACACAGCGCCACGGAGCCTTAGCTGTTTATCAGGCTCCCTCGCGGCACGGGGCTGCCTGCGACAACCTTCAGGCAGGAAAGCACTGGCCAGGGGGAAGGCGATCTGAGGCATACAGAGTTTCCCTCTGGAGTCGGGCCGGCAGGCTCAGTAGATTGCAGGCAAAGGAAGCGTGGTTTCAGCTTAGAGGGAGAAGTACCTTGTTGCGTTCGCTTGGACGCATGGTGCCAGGGCGTGGGGCAGGAAGTCAGAGGACATCTTGCGTCGGGCCAGCCCAGGATTTCTTAAGTGCTGCAGACGCGACACCTTTCAAAGATGCATCTTCAGACTTGGTTATGATGTACCAGGAGGTTAGGAATCAAAGATGGCGCCTATGCCCTGCAGTCAGCTCATGAAACCACTAGCAAGGCGCGTCTTGGGAAGCAGCCCCTGGGAAGTGAACATCCGTGCAGCAACGTGAGCTGGTGTGATCTCCATTTGAAGGAAGTCTTCTTTGACTCTGTGTGTGTGTGTTTAAGATTTACTTAGTTTATTTGAAAGGCAGACTTACACAGAGAAGGAAAGACAGAGAGATGAGAGAGAGATCTACCGACTGATGGATGCTTCACTCCCCAAATTACAACAATGGCCAGAGCTGAGCCAATGAGAAGCCAGGATCCAGGAGCTTCTTCTGGACTAGACCACAAACTGAAAGTTGGATCAGAAATGGAGCAGCTAGGACACAAACTGACATCCATATGAGATACGGGCTCCATAGATGGAGGATTAGCATGCTCTGCCACCATGCCAAGCCCTTGACTAATTTTTCTTTTTTCTTTTCTTTTTTTTTTTTTTATATTTTTAAGGAAATTGACCCCAGCAATTTCTCTTCTATACACTTACCCTAAAGGGAAAACTGTGGCTATAAAAGGGGCCAGTGCTGTAGTTTAGCTTTTAAAGTTGCTGCCTGCAGTGCTAGCATCTTATATGGGCACCCATTTGAATTCCAGTTGCTGTAGCTTTTGATCCAGTTCCCTGGTAATGCACATGTGAAAACAGCACAAGATGGTCTAAGTGCTTGGATCCTTGCACCCACATGGGAGAGCTGGATGAAGCTCCTAACTTCTGATTTCAGAGCAGCCCAACTGCAGCCATTGTGGCCATTTGGGGAGTGAACCAGTAGAAGGAAGAGCACTCCCTTTCTCCCTTTCTCTGTAACTGTGCCTTTCAAACAAATAAACTAAGTTTTATTTTTTTTAATGTGGATATGTTTACCTTAAGAAAGCTCAGTGAGCATTGATCAATTTGTCAATAAAAGAAGTCAACAAACGTTTATCAGTATGCACTTGGTTATTTCACAGAGGGCTGAGCAACAGCCATTTTGAATCACAAGGTTGAAGAATATTTCATAGCATGAGAAAATGATATTGTATTCCATGTGTAAAAATATTACCATTTGTGAAGTGTGACTTTCTTTCTATTTAAAGGCAGCTTTGTTGAGGTATGATCAACCATTAACAGTTGCATAGAAAGACATATTTACAAAAGGGAGAAGGAGAGACAGAGCAAGGAATATCCCATCTGCTGATTCATTCCCCAAATGGCTGCAGTGGCCGGAGCTAAGTTGATCCAAACACAGAGTTTCATCTGGGTTTCCTACACGGGGTGCATGGGTCCAAAGACTTAGGCCATCTTCTGCTGCTTTTTCTCTTCTGCTGCCATTATCTGGGAATTGGATAGGAAATGGAGCAAACAGGACTTGAACCAGCAACCATACAGGAATACCACCTGCACAGGTGGAGTCTTAAACTACTCCACCATGACACCAGTCCCAGCAAGCTGCATATTTTAAAGTGTGCAACTTGATACATGTAGACAGAAGCATGTATGTATAGCTGTGAAATTCCTACCACTATCAGGATCATAGACATGTCCTTCAGCCACAGGCGTGTCCTTGTGTCCTCTGTGATGTCATCCTCCCCCACCCTCTCCATTCCCACAATCAATGATTGGGTTTCTGTGCAGTATAATTTTTGTAAAAAGAAAAGTATCTTTGTAGACAGCAAGGTAGAGGAATGCTGACGACAGAAAAGGATATCCACTCAGAAGTGTGGAAGACAATTACAGAGAATGTTTATCTGTTTTTGCTGAATTGCATGTGAAGAAAAAAAAAAAAAACATTGAGAAGCAGCTGTCTAGCCCAGCAGTTAAGATGCCTCCCTCCCATGTTGCAGTGCCTAGTTTGGTGGCTGGCACTGACCGCCAACTCTAGCTTCCTATTAATGCAGACCTGATAGGAAAGGATGATGTTCAAGTGATTGGGTTCCTGCCACCCAAGTGACAGACCTTGATTGAGTTCTTTGCTCTTAGCTCTGGCCCCAACCCAGCCATGTCTGTTGTGTATATGGGGAATGAACCAGCAGGTGGGAGCTTTCTCTCTCTCTCTTCTCTCTCTGCCTCCATCTCTCAGGCTCTCATCATGTCTCTGCCTTTCAAATAAATAATTACTTTTTAAGTAGATCAATTGCTTTTGCAATAAGAATATATCCTTCAAGCTATTAAGCTATGTGTTCCAGAGAATCCACAAAAAAAAAAAAAAAAACCATGCAAGCAGGCATTCAATAAAGGTTTGTTGAACAGAGCATGTGCTGGTGGTGTGGAACCGTCTGTAAATGATTTTCAGCAGTGATGGTGGCTGAGGAGTGCTGAAGGTAGGAATGGTCCTTCTAGTGATAACAGGTGTATATGTGTTGATAGAAGCATGCATGTCCCTTGCAGGGTGAACACTGAACATGATGGCTTTCAGAGTGACTGTAAGGGTGAGATCATCCGCGGGTGGTTGTATATGGTAACAGCATCTGTAGGGCCAGGAAGTCAAGCGACTGACAGTGATGGTGGTGCTGAGACTCGTAGAAGCAGATGATTGAGGGCGTTCCACTACATAGATGGCTGCTCTGGTACTGGTGACAACAGGGATGGTTGCACGGATGCCGGCTGGAGGTGCAATGGCTGCAGAAATAGTGTCTCTAGGCATCATGGCCATATGTGTGCCGATGGCTACAAGGAGTATTGGCAGCAGTGACAATAGTCATAGGGGTAATGGCTGTGGTAGTGATGGCAGTGATGACCTTGGAGATACAACTTGACCAGGGGCATTAAACCAGCAGGCATAGAAATGGCCCAACTTGTGGCTTCTGGTGAGTGAGATAGAAGGCTTGAGTAGGCCTTATAATGTCAAATGGATTGGCCCACCTCTAGGGAGTAGAGTTTAAAGGACTGATGGTGACTGACATGAGATAACAAGGGCCGGGACTTGTCTCTGGTTGTTCAACCCAAGAGCCGGCTGCTTCAGAATCTCTGGAGACTGAAGCTGGGACTTCCTTCCTTCCAAGGGGCCGGCAGGGGCTGCGATTGCTGTAAGAGCAGGTCACGTGGTAGGGCTTCTTATATGCTGCTGCCGCCGCAGCCAGCAGGTGTCCATTGCCCGGCACCCCTAGCTGCCACTGCAGCAGTCACGGTGGCTCGGTCCATGCCGTGCCCCTCAGACCGTGCTGGCGAGGCTGAGCCTGAGACCTCTGAGTCTCGACCCGTAGGAGAGCAGGGACCAAGTCTCACCAGTGGGGAGGATCATGTTGCGTCGCAAGCCCTCCAACGCCGGCGAGAAGGAGCCCACCCAGAAGAAAAAGGTGGGGAGCATCTTTGAAAACTTGTTTTCTTCCTTCTCTTCCTCTGCTCTCTCAACCCTTCCCCTCCAAGATTCTACCACTGAACCTGGCTGTGAGGGGATCGAGACCTAATATCAGGGCCAGAAGTGTAGGCTAGAAAGCGAGAATTGCAGACCTGCGATGCTCTGGCTGACTCCTAAGACTCTGCTTAGCACTCTTGGCCCTACACCGATCCAACCATTGCTTAAGTCAGGAAGGGCCTCCAGGAAGCCATCTTACCTGAAGGGCTGCTCTACCTGGAGCCATGCTGGATACTCCCAGGCTCTCCTCCCACTGCCTCAGCTTTGCCACAGCTCCCCAGGTCCATAGGAGCTGGGAGCCTGTGATGATTTCCACGCACAGGGCAAGGGCCCTCCAGAGCGTGTGGTGGAATGCGGCAGGTAGGGAGAGCAAGGGCTGAGTAGGAAAAGCTCAGCCAGCGCTCGGGCGGGAGGTGAGGGGGAAGGGGATAGAGTGTGGATTTGAAGGCCAAAAGAGGAGAAGCAGCTGTTGCAGGTGGCTGAACTATTTGTCCTCCTGGGGTCAGAGGCTGACCGGAAGATTCCTTCAAGGCTCCACCAAGTCAGGGTTTCTCTGGCTGGCTTGGTAGTTTCCAGGCCAAAGGGCAGACTGATTCGATAGCAGGGTTCTCCCAAGTGGTATGGCAAATACATCCTGCACATGCACAAGATCCTAAGGCCATCCTAGATTCCTGGGTCAAGTTTCCAACTTCCGGGGCCTGCAAGCTGCCCAAAGTACCCTGCTAGCTTTCCCATAGGTGCCCTGCAGGGCAGCCCCCTTTTCAGGGGAGCAGTTGCCAGGCAGAGGCTGAGACAGCTGAGAAACAGCCTCAGAGCGCTGGGGTGTGCATCCTGCCCCATCTCTCAGGTCCTGGGGTGGCTGCCACTTCCGGCTGTATTCTCTGTACTCCCCACCCCCAGCCGCTTTTCTGAGGTTGCAGTCGTGATGGGCAGGGGAAGGTGGGGGATTCATGAATCTTCCCATGGGGCTTTGTCACTCCCCTCATCCCCCCGCCCCCGCCTAACACAGGGGCGCTCAGCTCAAAGGCCTGCCATTGGCTACTGCTCCCCAAAGCCACTTCCCCCTTGCTCTCGGGCTGCTTTGGGGTGGAAAGCAGAGGCTGCTTTGTCGTTGACACTGCTAGGCCCCAAACCACAGGGGAGTTGAGCTACAAGACAGTCTGAGAAAGAGCCAACATGTCACCCCGGGGTCCCTGGGCCATCTTAGACAGAGGAGCCAACAGAACGGAGAAGTCATAGCTCTGCTATTTTTCAAGCCTCATTCATCCAGACCTCTGGGACTTGTCCTGGCTGTCTCCTGGAAGAAACTAGGCCCTGAGTGGCCCGCCGAGGCTCACATCCTTTAGAGGAAGGGAGGGCACAAAGTCTGGGGAGAGCCCTGGCTCCTGCCCCTGGCTCTCTCTCCTCCCAGGCCTGCCACCTAGAGAGTATGCCAGACAGGGGCCCAGAAAGCATGTTTGCATGCTAGTATATTTTATGTGTAGGACCTTGAAGAGCTTCTTGACTTCCTTTGGGCCTCAGTGTCCTTGTGCTTGAAAACAAGGCTAAGAAGGTGGGGACGGCATGTGCCCGCGAGGGTGGGAGTGTTGTAAGGTATGATCCAGGCTGAGGAACACAGTGGGAAAGATGGGCCATGGTCCCAGCCCTGAAGCAGAGACTCACTAGCGCTGACAGCCACCGCCTAGTGACGGCTCATGTGGTACCCAGCATGTGGCTCACTCTCAATCTCTCACACCACTTGAGTCCTCCCTGCAACCTTAGAAGGGAAGAGCAGATACTGACGTGTTTGCTCTTTTACATGGGACACTCAGAGAGGTAAGATGACTTGCCAAAGGTCACACAGCTGGTGAGCTGTACAGCAGGGCTGGGCGGGGGAGGAGGGGGGAGGGATCGCATCCAAAATGATTTGTCTCAAGACTCCATGCTCTCAGCCACTACTGAATCTCAACAGAGTTAGAAAAGTCCACAGGCATGAGAGAGTCAACACATCAGTCGGCGAGCTCCATGGGGCAGACCCAGACATGTGCAGCCTTCCAGCTGTCATAGCCAGGAGGAAGCAGGATGGTGGGGACAGGGTGTGCAGCATGCAGCATTGGGGAGGTCTGGGGGCATAGCCCTTAGCCTCCCTTTGGGGACCTTCACCTCTTTCAAGTTCTTGTTCCTTTAACCTGATGGCACTCAAAGGCCAATGCTGGGGACAGGAAGTGGAACACAGACTTGTCCTGCACTTGTCTCCTCTAAAGATGGTCCCATCCCTCCTCTTCCTTCCCTTCTACCCTCCATAGAACTACCTTTAGAGGGAATGGAATTTTGTTGTGGGTATTTGGAAAATGAACCATCAAGTGGTTTTCTTTCTCCCCTGTATCCTGGGATGCTGGAACACTATGCCCCATGTGGCTCCCTTTCCACAGCACACTCCTAGCTCCAGCATGCAATTTGTGTTCTCAGTTAGAGCACCCCAATCTCACAGCCCCCAAGATTGGAAATACTCCCAAATACAAATACAAGATTTTCTGAGTGCTGACATGATGCTGCAAAGGAAAATTTTACACCTGACCCCTTAAGATGGGTTGCAGTGAAAACACAGGTGCACAAATACTGAGTAACATTACCTTCCAGCCATGTGAACGAGGTGTGTATGAAACACAAGTGAGTATTTAGAGTCCCAGCCGCAAGCTACCTCACCATGTATATGGAGGTATTCCAAAATTTCAAAAATCCAGAATCTGAAGCACTTCTGGTGCCAAGCATTTCAGATAAAGGATACTCAACCCACAGGTGTTCATAGCACACAAGATAACTCCATGAGTCTGGCCGGCAAGGGCTTCCACACACCTTCCTGCTCCACCTTCCATCATAGCCACTGGCACACCCATCATGCCATCACCTTACTCATTTATTTCCAGCTCCATCTAGACAGCCCGGCTTCTCCACTTGGCCCAGCTTAAATGTGCCTCCTCCAGGAAGCTCTGCTGAGCTCTTTCTCCTCCCTGTTGCCACCTACTCCCCTGGTAGCTCTGTTCACACTGCACCAGTAGTCTATCACACTTCGATCTTCAGCTGTGTGAGCTATCTGTGTGGCACGAGGCCTGCAACATGCATGGCTTCTGCAGTCACACATATGACACAGGAGCTCTGCTGAAGCTGAGTAAGCTGGGGCACTCAGAGGGCTAGGCACAGTGTCAGCCCAGGGAGAAGTGTTGAAGCCCCTTTTGCTGGACTCACACACACACATAGGCATGTGGAGGCTGGGGTCTGGAGCTCAGAGGGTGCTCCGTGTGTAACAGGTCCACTGAAGGAACCTACAGGGCATTTGAGGGACACATGAAGAAAGTCAAGGTTTCCTAGGAAGCAGGGAGGAGGAAGGATGCTGACGAGGGCACTGGAGAGCAAACGGGAAGATGTCAGCTGGTATGCAGCTCTTAAAACTGGAGTCGGAAAACCTACATATTGAAGTGTAACATCCATACAGAAAAACACATGGATTCTAAGTGCACCACTCAAAGGGTGTTCATGCAATGAGCATTTCCACAGAGGCAGTACCCACCTCAAGAAGCACAGCATATCTAGAAGCTTCCATCATGGTTCTGTCAGTCACTACATGACACCTTCCTTTCCTCAAGGGGTCCTACCATCTAGATTCCAGTACCTTAGCTGAGTTTTGCTGGTATTTAAACTTGATATAAGTGGAACCATACTGTAGATGCTGTTTGGTGCTGGCCCATTTTGTTACAGTGTGGATATTACACTGATGTTCATGGTGTTGGGGAGAGTGGTACTGTTCTCTTGCATGACTACAACAATTCAGTTAGCCATTCCACAACTGATAGGCATTTGGGTTGTTTCCACTCAAATTGGAATTTGAGGGATGGGAGGAACCACTGTTAACAGAGGGAAGAGTGGAATCCTCCCTGTTGGGGAAGTGCCCTGGGGGAGGAGTCTGGAGATGGGTCATAGGCGAAGTTCCATGCAAATTGGCATACAGTGTGGGATTATTGCATCAAGTTCATATATACGAACTGAACATGTGTTCACCCATTTCATCCTCACAACAATCCAGTGAAGCAGGAGTTAGTGTCTTCATTTCCCTGGGGAACAGGCAGAAGCCCTAGAGAAGTTCAGGAACTTCTCCAGCCTAACATGGCGGTCAGTGGCAGAGGAGAACTATGAAAACATGCCATGTGACATCAAGCTGAGGTTCAGAGAGATTAAGTCACCTTAACTTACTTAGTGGTTGCACATCCCAGAGTTGAACCTGGCAATGTCTGATGCCAGAAATTAGTTCTTTCCCGGAGGTCCATGTCCTGCCCTTAGACATGAAAGGAGGGCCAATTGTGTATGGTACAACTTCACTGGACACATGACTCCCAGCAATCCCTGCCCCAAAGAGAAGCCAGGCAGGAAACCTACATGGGTTCAGGGATTTCAACTCATCTCTGGATAGAGGTAACTCCAAAGTCACCAAAAAACAGCCAAGAGAGCTGGGGCTGCTCCCGAGGTCGGCCAAGGCAAGGAACTTAGTCAGCTAGTCCTTTCCATCTCCCTGGACCCAGAGTCAGCTGGCTGAGCCCAAGTTCCAACATCACCTGCATACCCCTAATCAATTGGTTCCTCCTGCTTTGGGCTAAAGCTGGGACAGAGAACCCTCACACAAGAGCCTGGAAACCAGGGCCAGCATGATGGTTCTACTGGAAAATCCTCGCCTTGCAAGTTCAGGCATCCCATAATTGGCACCAGTTCGTGTCTCAGAGGCTCCATTTCCCATCCAGCTGTCTGCTTGTGACCTGGGAAAGCAGTAGAGGACAGCCCAAAATCTTGGCACCTTGCATCCAGGTGGGAGACCCAGAAGAAACTACTGGCTTCAGACCAGCTCAGCTCCAGCCATTGCGGCCACTTGGGAGTGAATCAGCAGATGGAGAAAGTCTCTCTTTCTCTCTGTAAATCTGCCTCCTCTCCAATAAAAATAAATAAATCTTTAAGAGAGAGAGCCTGGAAGCCTAAGGCCCCTCTTCCCAGCTTCTAGACTGCTGATTAATGACAGGAAGGGGCCTTGGGAAAGAGGTGTGATTACAGGCCTGCCGGGTGGTCAGCTTAGACTCTTCCCCAACAAAGCCAACTTTCGGCCCCACGCCAGCTCTCTTGCTCATTTTCCAGCCCCCCCAGTCCCTAGGGCTTCAGGCGCAGCTCTCAGCCTCCTAGTCCACGGGTGAGGCTGAGGATTGGCCAAGGGAAGGTCACAATAGACTCTGTGGGGCTATAAATAGCAGCTCGGCCTGCCCTCCTTGGGCTCAGGCCAGTCTGGTGCCCACCCTCTCTCTCTCTGTTCCCTCTTTTCCATTGCAATAAGAGGAGGAAGTATCCAAGCAGCTGCATCCTACTATACAAGAGGAGGAAATAAATGCAAGAGAAGAAAGAGAGAAGGGAGGAACAGCAAGAGGGGAGGATGGAAGAATCAGACTCATGGGAACCACAGTGGCCATCCCAGGGTCACACAGTCACCCATGTTCCCCTTTCCCAATCCCCCAATGTGGCACGGAAGAGGCTATTGGATGCAGGCTGCAGGCAGCTCCACTCAAGAGGCCGTGATGATAGCATCTTTCTTAACCATACCGCTAGTGGCCTGGTTGGTTTCTGGTGGACCTCTAGCTATGTGTGACCACTGACCTGGAGATCAGAAGCCAACTGTGAATGTGTAGGAGGGGAAGGTGTTGCGGGGGTTGTCTTTGGACACACACACCCCTTTTAGTAGGAAAGAGGATGTGAAACCTTTAGCTTTGTGTGGGCTTGGGGCTCGGGTTCCTGAAGCCCTTATCTTGGGTGTCTGCAGTCTATCCCCCTCTATCTGTCTGGCCATCTGTGAACCTTGGTTCCTGTGTATATCTTCTGGTCTTGACTGTTCAGTTTGATACAGTCTGTGGGGCTCTGCCTCTCTTACCTGCTTTGCTCAGTTATGCATGCATATACCATTACAAAAGCCTAGTTCCTGAAAATGGTCTCATCGTCACAAATACTAAACTACTGATTCATTGTATTGTCATGGGAAAAATGATTGTATCATAAGGCGTAAGAGAATACAATCACATCACATAATTTTGAACTCCTCCTTACCACCACCAATATGCAATGCACAAAATATTGAGAAAAGTTTGCAGTATATTTTATATCTTTTCATCATAGTTTATTATGTTTCTAAAGCCAGTTATTTATCTTAGCTAAGAATATAGTATTTAGTGGCTGATGCCATGGTGTGGTAGGTCATGGAGCTGGCATCCCATATGGGTACCAGTTTGTGTCCTGGTTGCTCTACTTCCCATCCAGCTCCCTGCTTGTGACCTGGGAAAGCAGTCAAGGATGGCCCAAAGCCCTGGGACCCTACACCCATGTGGGAGACCTGGAAGAAGCTCCAGGCTACTGGCTTTGGATCAGTTCAGCTGCAGATGTTGTGGCCATTTCTCGAGTAAACCAGTGGATGGAGGATCTTTCTCTGTCTCTCCTTCTTTCTCTAACTCAATTCTACCTTTCAAACAAAATAAGGTAAATTTAGGAAGATACATAATCTTTATTCCTTATTAAAAAAACAAACAGGTAATGCCTAGAAGTTCAAACACATGGGTGGCTAAGGTTACGTTAGTGGCTATAGTGAAAAGCTGAGATGAAAATGAGAAAATGGAATCTTTAACCAAATTAGGCTTAATGGTTTGTGTCCCAAGTCTGTGGGTGCCTTCTGTGAATGACCCTCTGTGGTGGTATTCAGCGAAGTATACTGCCAGGACTTGCTGGTTTCTAGCAGAATGTCTCATTCTTGCTGGGACACAGTTCTTCAAACGGGAGGTTCCAACGTGTGTGCCACTAGCACTGCTATCAGAGAGCACGTGCAGAGCAGAACCAGGGCAATGAGGCCGGAGCCACGGGGTGTGGGGCATAGCTACTGTCCACAAGACTGTAGATTTATTTTTACATGTGTGGAAGGATGTCTCTAGTGGTAGATTCGTGTTTCCTCTTGTTCACTTGGTCTTTCCGTCGAGGATTCTGGGAAGCAAACTTCAGGAACTAGTGGAAATTTGGGCTTAGTGTAAGGACTACCCCCTGCCTGATGCCCCAGGAGAGGAGCTTGGTCCAAGGTCAGGGTGAAGCACAGGTTGAAGCCAGATAGCTTCAAGGACCTATTGACAGTTGCCTTCAATTGCCCTGGGTCCTCAGGACACATACAGAATCTGTTCATCCCTGGTGCACACGTGTGTGGTGTGGTGTATGTGTGTCTGAATGCGTGCACACGCACATGCTCCCCTCCCCATGCAAAGGGATGGGGGCATGTGGGGTCAGTCTCAGGCAGACATTTTTAGCGCCACTGACTGTAATACCTCTGCTTCTTCCAGCTCTCCCTTCAGCGCTCCAGCAGCTTCAAAGATTTTGCCAAATCCAAACCTAGCTCCCCCGTGGTGAGCGAGAAGGAATTTAATCTGGATGATAATGTGAGTTTCATTGTTTCCTGGGGGGTGGGGAGGTCTGATCTGGAGGCAGGCCCAGAGCGAGAGGGGGTTGTGAAGGGGAGGTGGGACGCGGAGAGAAGAGGACATCTAAGTATGATTGAGGCAAAGTCCCCTGAAACACAGAAGGCCCATGTCTCTCACCCACCCAAGTTTTCAGCATCGAACACTTCCCTGCATTCTTTCCAATGACAAGTTTAAAAAGAAAATTCATCCCCAATGAATAGGGATGCAGACAAGATTGAGACAAGAAGGGGAGGAATGGATGGGGTTTCTCAATCCTACTACTTCCAACCTCTGCTGTGACCCAGGCCTTCTGGGCTCCAAGTTCTGGGCCCAGGTGGGGTCACCAGGGTCCCTGAACCTCCTCTTTTATCATCACAGATCCCAGAAGATGACTCAGCTGTTCCCACTGCAGAGGATGCCGGGAAGAGTGGCAAAAAGCTGGGGAAGAAGTGGAGGGCAGTGATTTCCCGCACCATGAACAGAAAAATGGGCAAGATGATGGTAAAGGCCCTGTCGGAGGAAATGGTAAAGCTTAGCAGAAGGAAAGGGGTGGGGCCTGGGGGCTGGGGCAGGGGCCAGGACTGTGGCTCAGACAGGGCCCAAGGGCCCTCCTTTGACACACAGGGAGTGTCATGTGTGAGAGGAGCGCCCTCTCAGCTATGGGTAGTGCAAGCAGCCACAGCCGGGGGTGGGGTGGGGAGACAGAGAGCCCAATGGGAAGGGGGCTTGGGCTTAAGGGATGCCATCTAGGCAACAGAAGCAATTTTTGCAGAGGTACCTGAAGGGAGGGGCTCTGCAAGGGAGGTGAGACCGCTAAAGGGGAACAAGGCCCAATTCAAAGAGGATGTGGAGAAAAATATAGGTGCTCCTCACCCCTGCCCTTCCCCTCCCACCACCACATAAACCCATCACCCATCACAAGGGAAAATTCACTAAAGGTGCTTATCCTAGGGGACAATCTAGCTAAGCAGCACAGGGCCCCACAAAGTCACTGCAGTTGCTGGTCATGATCATGGTCATGATCTGTCTCAGAGCCGACCACTGCCGAGCATCACAGGAGAGGATTATTATACAGAACACTAGCGTGGGAAAAGAGCCAGATATAAAATTCCAAATACAGTTTCTACTGAGTGCATATGGCTTTGGCAGCATCGTCAAGTTGGGGGAAAAAAATTGTTATTTGAACCATAGTAAGCTGGGGACCATCTGTAGGGGGAATGAAGAAGGCTGGCTTTAGTTCACAGATGTAGATAACACAGAAAGCTGTGGGGAGACACATCCAGGTAAGTTACAGCGCACTGTGGGGCTGGTGCACCTGCATCTCTTAGCAAGAGGCACCGAGACAGTGTGTGACAGGAGTCAGCAGTGGATCCAACTGTCCTGAGCTTTGTGAGCCAGCTATTATGTAGAACCAATATTATAAATTAGATTATATACATTTCAATAAGTTCTACTAAAACCAAGTTCTCAAAAGATATTACTTCCCAACTCTTGCATGCCCCCTTTACCCTTTATCCATGCGGTGGAGGTTATATATATATATCTATTGTATCTGTGTGGTGAAAAGGAGCTTGGCTATCCCTCCCAGGAACACCACGTTGGTGGCTTGGCATCAGCCAAAGTAGGGAGCACCTGCAAAATGGACATGAGCAAAGCATCAAGGCTCTTAGCCTCCGAGAGTCAGCTGTGGAACAGTTAGCACAGCGGAACACAGGCCAACTTGGTGCTGGATTCTGTGCTTATCTTCAAGTGTCACTGTGAGGATCTGATGAAGATGCAGGCAGGCCCTACACAAAAGAACCTAAGCAAAAGCAGTGTCCTTATACCCTCACCCCCCAGAGGAGGTCATTGTGGGCTTGGCTATGCCCTAGCGATGACCTTAGTCCAAGCTGTGCCAACATGGCCTTTGCTGGGTGTCTGTCAGCACTGGAAGTTGGCGAGGCACATTCTCTTGGCTCCAGCTCAAGCCCCATTTGGTACTGAGGGATCGAGGCCTCTGAGAGTACTAGACACTATAGTTGTCAGGGACCAGCTCCTGGGCAAGGCCAATCCCAGGTCCTCTGTACTAGGACCTGTCTCAGGCACACCCAACAAGGCTGCTCAGGACTTCCGGCCTCCCCTGTCTGTGCAGGCAGACACTTTGGAAGAAGGCTCAGCCTCCCCGACATCTCCAGACTGCAGCCTGGACAGCCCCGGCCCTGACAAGATGGCGCTGACCTTTTCTGAGCAGGAGGAGCGTGAACTTCCGACACTCAGCCGGCAGACATCAACAAGTGAGTAGGGGAGGTGCCAAATCTGGAGGACAGGAGTGTGTTAAGCTGTGCACACTGGGCTGCTGGGAAGGGAGCATAGGATGCTGAATACTTACTGTTGGCCAGCTGGGAACTTTTCTGGTCCCCTTCACCACAGCCTCTGGGGCTGCTACTGAATATTCACATTTTATTAATGTGAAAACAGAGCCTCGGAGATGAAACAATTTGCCCAAAGTAACCACATCTTGTATTCAAAGATCTGGCCTGGAGGAATTTCCATAGTTTGGCGCCACATTGCTGTTCTTGGACCCTCCCGTCCTACCTTTCCCAGGAGGGCTAGAGGTTACGCTCCGTGGGGTGGAAAGCAGGGCAGGTGGGGATAAGGTCTTCAGCTGTGAGGAATCAGCCTCTTGAGGTCTCACCCTTGACTTTCTAGACTCAAGCCTCACTTGGCATCCCTTTTTTTAATGATTTTTTTTTTTATTGAAAAGACAGATATGCAGATAGCAGGAAAGACAGAGAGGAAGACCTTCTGTCCAGTGATTCACTCCCCAAGAGGCTGCAGTGGCCGGAGCTGCATCAATCCAAAACCAGGAGCCCAGGTTCTTCTCTGGGTCTCCCACGTGGGTGCAGGGTCCCAAGGGTTTAGACCATTCTCAGCTGCTTTCCCAGGCCACAGGCAGGGCTGCCGGGATTAGAACCAGCACCCATATAGGATCCCGGCATGTGCAAGGCAAGGACTTTAGCCATTAGGCTACTGCACTGGGACCTCGGCATCCGTTTTAAAGATGTGGGACTGCGTGAGAGGTTCACTGCCTGGGGGAAGGGCTTCAGCGTCTGGGCCGCAGCCCTGAAGAGACATTGCCTTTCTTGCGCCTTGCACCCCTTCCGATTTTCTCACTCCTTCTTTGGCTCCACATTCAGTTCTCTGTACCCACCCCCCTCTCCCAGGTGGACAGAGCCCTGAAGGGTGGGTTGGGAGACCTGGAGTTCAGTGGATCTGGTGTTGCCAAGTACAAAGTCACTCGAAGAACAGCTCATTTGTTCATTGGGCTGTTGGCCACTGAGGCTCCAGAAGCCCTTCCAATCGGCCCATTCTTTGATCATGAGCAGAGTTACAGCAAGAGAAGGAGAGACAGAGAAACAGAGATCCTTCATCTGCAGCTTCACTCCCCAAATGGCTGCAATAGCCAGAGCTGAGCCCCTATGAAGCCAGGAGCCAGGAACTTCTTGCAGGTCTTCCATGTGGGTGTAGGTGCCCAAGGCCTTGGGCCATCCGCCACTGCTTTCTCAGGCCATAAGCAGGAAGCTGGATGGAAAGTGGAGCTGCCAGGTCTGAACTGGTGCCTATATGGGATGCCAACACTGCAGGAACAGGTTTAACTTACACTGCCATGGCGGTAGTCCCATATTTCTCCCATTAACAATTCCTTTCCTGAGCCTCCCAGGGATGGGTAAGAAAGTCTTCTACAGTGTAATGCTTGTCAGAGTCCAGTTTTCTTCCCCAGTGGGTACCCCCGGGGTTACTAGTAACCCCCTGCTCCAAGTCCTCATCGTCCTGGGACAAAGGTGGATTTCATATCTTTTCCTGTAGGCAGCGAGCTCTGTAGCCCTGGCCCAGGTTCTGGCAGCTTCGGGGAGGAAGCACCTGCCCTCCCGTATGCAGGGCCCTTCTGTGGCCGGGCAAGAGTCCACACCGACTTCACTCCCAGCCCCTATGACCACGATTCGCTGAAACTTCAGGTAAGACCAGCCACTCTGGAGTCTTTAAAGGGCTGTGGCTGTGCAGGAGGCTTGGACTGCGTAAGGATTAGGACTGTGTTGGGGCAGGAGGCAGCAGGGGTGAGGGTCGCTCCTCTTCTCTCCCCTGCTGTCCTCTCCTCTTGGCCCACAGAAAGGAGATGTGATCCAGATAATCGAAAAGCCGCCCGTGGGCACATGGCTGGGCCTGCTCAATGGCAAGCAGGGCACATTCAAGTTCATCTATGTGGATGTGCTGCCTGAGGAGGCAGTGGGACCTGCCCGTCCGAGCCGCCGACAGAGCAAGGGCAAGAGGCCCAAGCCCAAGACTCTGCATGAGCTGCTGGAGCGCATCGGCCTGGAGGTGAGAGCCTATATCTGCACTAGTGTTAAGTAGGGGCACCAGCTGGAGAGACCCAGGGACCAGGGGATGACAGTGGTGAGGGGCTCGGGTCTAGGCAGGGGCAGCTAGGCGGCAGTGGTGCCAGGGCCCTGCCTCTGCCCACAGGAGCACACATCCACCCTGCTGCTCAATGGCTACCAGACGCTGGAGGACTTCAAAGAGTTACGGGAAACACACCTGAACGAACTCAACATCACAGACCCACAGCACAGAGCCAAGCTGCTCACGGCCGCCGAGCTGCTGCTGGACTATGACAGTGAGTGGCTTTTGGAGAGCAGGGTGCTGGCTGGGTGCCCGCTGGCATTCCAGGGGAGGGAGGCTCCCCCTGGCCCTGCCCCCACCCCTCTCTGCCTTCCTTCCCCTCTCCAACCACACTCAGCCTCGGGGTGGCGGGGGGGTGCTCTGCAGGAAAAAACACATTCTAGACTGCACTAGGAGCCTCAGGCAGAGGGGGAAATCTTCAGTCGGTCAGGGTAAAGGGTTTGTTACACATGATGAGGCCCAACTCTGTTTTGGATCAGAAGAGAGATGGAGAAGGCCAGGCTCCGGCCTAATCCCCAGCTCATTCTTTTCTGTGAGGCACAGCTGGCCTGGATATGATTTCCTTTCCCCACCCACCCTGCTTCTCCCCCAACCCCCCAACCTTGGCTTCTAAGCTGTAAGTGGTGAGAAGAGGAGGCAGAGATGGCAGCGGGTCCCCCAAGGACCAAGCCACCTCCCCATATCCTATCCCCTTCTCCCACCCCCGGCAGCTGGCAGCGAGGAGGCGGAGGAGGGCGTCGAGAGCAGCCAGGAACTAGTGGCGCACACAGTGTCGGAACCCAAGGTGGACATTCCACGTGACTCAGGCTGCTTTGAGGGTTCAGAGAGCGGACGCGATGAGGTGGACCTGGCAGGCACAGAGGAACAGCTGCATGGCCTCTCCCTGGCCGGGGCACCTTGAGGTGGTAGTGACACAAGCTGAGGCTGGGCTGAGCTACAAAGACTGTGGGCTGTGGACCCGGCCTCCGCGGTGGCTCCCAGGGTCCCCAGAGGACTGATGTCAGGACTAGCGCTTTCTCCCCCAGGAGTGCTTAGGCTTGTAGCCCAGTGGACCCCTACAAAGCTTGGCTGGAGTGGCCAAGGGGCCACCCAAGAGAACATCCGATCCGCCCAAACTCCTCTCTGCAGCAGCGACTGACAGCACAGCCCTTTCCCAGCAGTGCCTTTCCAGGATCAAGGTCCCTCTAAGCAGGGCACTGAGGAAACCCGCCCCTATCTCCCAGCACCAGGGCTCCCAAATCCTCCTCACTTCCCCACCCCTCTCTCCCTGTGGTACACTCCTAAGCAGGGGTCAAAGCAGTCAGGAAACCTTAGGAAAGCTGCCCATTTAAAAGGACCCACCAAGATCATGATCATGGGCAAATCCTGATATCCCTAAAGAAAGCTCAAAGAATGACATAGGTGCCATTTCTGCCTTTTTCTTCCTTAATTTTCTTACTGGTTTGGCTACTACATTGTTGTGAGCCTTGCACCACAGCCTCACCTCCTGTAACTTAGGGTTGGTTGGGGGTTACAATGGACAGTCACCGAGGGCCTTGCCAGCCCTGACACCCTGACATTAAATGTCCATCCTGCTCTTACTTGTGACCTGGAACATCAGTGCAGCTTCTTAAGGGCACTGGAGCGGGTCTCAGACTTCCAAATGAAGCAGCCCCTCCTCTTCGTCCGTTTCATCTCTTAACTTCATTTCATCTCACTGTAGCCCAGCTGCAACTTCCGCAGCTTCAAATAATGCTCTTACCTCGCACAACATGTTTCCTCCCCTTCCATTTTTGGGGCCACTCAAGAGGACTTCCTGTAAGGCTGAAGGCAGAAGGTCTGATCAGGCACCCAAGGCCAGAATCATCACTCAGAAGTCAGATGCAGATCCAGACCTAAACTTGGCCACTTGCAAGGCTCCTCAGCAGCAAAGAAAGCAGTCATCTTGACACCGTAGAGTCCACTATCCCCAACTTGGCTTTGCTAAAGCTTTTGGAGCACCTTGAGTCAGGGAAAGAGGGTATCTGTCAGTGGGAGGTTTCCTTTACCCCAGTACCAAGTCTGTGCCCTGAGTCATAAGTTGCCTTGTCCTGGTGCCCGACTATCCTGAGATAAACAGTGCCCACTACATCTAGGACTGCCTGCTAAGTGGACACACTTCTTACCTATTACCAGAATTTGGGTAAAAGCTAGCTTTGGCAAAGGGAGTTGTGTGTAAATAGGAGGGGGAGGGGGTAAGAAGGTGATGGAGTTGGTAGCAATAAACTTTAGTAGAACTGAATTATTGGCTCCAATGATTTTCCTTATGGACATTAGGATGGGGTGCACGGTGGCAGTGGTGACACTCTTCCTCAAAGTTGGCCTCAATAAAATGTGCCCGTGTTGTCCTTTCCTGAAAGAGTGCCCTTTCATCTTGCCCTTCCCTGGAGATGCCCCTCGACTCCACTGACCTGAAACTTCTTCTGAAGCCCTAATTGGCTCCCACCAACCAGCCGTCTTCAGAAAAGGACTCAAGCACCCATGGCTGCTTGCCTCCCTGGGGCCTGAGACAGACAGATGGAGCTCTTCAATCCACTGATTCACTCACCAAAAGCCCACAATAACTGGGACAGGGCCAAACCAAAGCCAGGAGTGTGGAACTCCTTCTGAGTCTCCTATGTGGATAGTGGAGTGCAAGAACTTGAGTCATCATCTGCTACCTCCTCAGGATGTATTAGCAAGAAGCTGGATCAGAAGTGAAGTCACAGGGACACGAACTAGGCACCATGATATGGGATGCAGGTGACTCAGGCAAATGTACTGCACCACAGTGCTTGCCCCTTGCTGCCATCTTACTAAATAGGTACTGAGCAAGCATTTTACATACATCATCTCATATAATCCCCACAGTGTCCCCCTGAAAACATCATCATCAACATCATCCCAGTTTACAGAGGAGAAGACTAAGACTTGGAAAGGATGAAGATTTTTAGTAGGAAGTTCCAAAGCAAAGAGTCTGCCGACTTGCGAGCCGAGGTTCTTCATCCCTCACTGTGATGCTTCTCAAAAGGCATCTTGCAACAGCCTTTCAAAGGCCCTGAGTGCTGCAGAAAACAATCTGACCTCTAACCCAGCCACTCCTGTTCTGTGACTGGATCTATAGAAAGAGCCATGCATGAACATCAAGGTACACAGACCAAGATATGCAGAACAGCACTGTCTTAAAGAGTACAAAGTTGGAAAGAACATAGCTGGAGCATCAGTTAGATATATTAAACTCCTACAACACTATTCAGCCATTAAACAGGGTATTGTAGAAAAATATTTAATGATAAAAAGGAAATGTTCCTGATTCCTTTATTATTTAATTTTCAAAAATTTAAAAGAGTTTTTATTTATTTACTTATTTGAAGGTAGACTGACAGAGGAGAGACACACAAAGAGAAAGAAATCACCTATCCACTGGCTTATTCCCCAAATGGCCACAGTGGCTGGGGCTGGACCAGCCATGACTGTTGCAAGTATTTGAGGAATGAACCAGTAGGTGGAAGTTATCTCTGTGTCTCACCTCTGTCACTCTGATTCTCAAACAAATAGATCTTTTTTTTTTTTTTAAAGATCTATTTATTGTTTTTGTTGGAAGGGAAAGACAAAGATCTTCCATTCAATGCTTCATTCCCCAAATGGCCGCAATGGCCAGAGTGAACTGATCAAAGTCAGAAACCAGAAACTTCTTCCAGGTTTCCCACACAGGTTCAGAGGCCCAAGGTCTTGGTCCATCCTCTATTGCTTTCCCAGGCCACAGCAGGGAGCTGGATGGGAATGAAGCACCTAGGACACAAACCGGCACCCATATGGGATGCCAGAACTGCAGGTGGAAGATTAGCCAGTTGTGTCATCATGCCAGACGCTCAAATAAATAAATCTTAATATGTATGTATGGTTGCTAATGCAGTAGTGTCACTAGCTGGGTCACTAAGAAGTTTTTTTTCTTAAAGATTTATTTCGTTTCAAAGGTAGAGCTATAGGGGGTGGGGAGAGGGCGGTGACAGAGAAGTCTTTCATCTGCTGGTTCACTCACCAATTTGCAGCAACAACCAGGGCTGAGCCAGTCCAAAGCCAGGAGCCAGAAGCCAGAAGTTTTATCTGGGTCTCCAATGTGAATGCACAAGCCCAAGCACTTGGACCGCATTCTGCTACTTTCCCAGGTGCATCAGTAGGAAGCAGGACTGGAAGTGGAACAACTGGGACAGGAACTGGCACCCACGTGGGATGTCGGCATTGCAGGAGATAGCCCCAATCTGCCAGCAATACTCCTCACCTTTAATTTTCAATTTTAAAATTATACACATGTCATACAAATTTCTTATTGTAAAAGAAGTTCGTGTTCTATCAAGGGGAAAAGCAAATACTATGATATTATTAATAGTGTGATCTGGTATTTACTTACTAAATGGAAAGCACACAAAGAACAGACTGCAAAGCTCAGCAGCAGATGGTTACCAGCGGTGATCCTGGGAGGTGGAGGTAGGACTGCGGGGGGTGGGGGGAATGCTCACTTTCTGTGCACCTACTTTGTTTGAATTTCTAATGCATGTATTAATTTTCTCTCTGAATCAAATCACAGTATTTCAATTTTCGAAAATAAAAAAATGAATAGGGCCCAAGCTCTCTGGCCTCCAATAGGGGGCAACCTCTGCCTTTTGACACAGGTTTCTGGGACTATGTGGGGTGAATAACACCTAAAGTGCTTAAAATCCGTACATACCAGGGAGACCTCTGCAGAGCAAGTTCTTAAATTGTTCCAGGCCGTTGAGTAACAGCTATCAGCTCTAAGGAAAGGCAAATGCCAGAACCAGAGCAATGCCTAAGAAAATGATGCCATTACACCCTCCCCTGTCTTCGGGAGGGGCTCAGCAGGAGAGAGTCTATCTCAGAGCCATAAGACTCCAGTCTGGCCTCTGGGGTCACTGCAGACTGAAAGAGGACAGCTGTACAACAGGCTGGGAACAGCAAGTGGAAGCTGGCCTAGGGTAGATGAACTGCGCACTCACGAGTTTGGGCTGACCTGAGCTCAAGTCAGCTCTTACCTACCAGCTGGGTCATCACCATCAAGTCACTTGACCTCCCTGAGCCTCAATTTCCAACATGGTAGCCTAGTGGCTAAAATCCTTACTTTGCAAGCACCAGGATCCCATAATGGGTGCCAGCTCGTGCCCCGGTAGCCCCACTTCCCATCCAGCTCCCTGCTTGTGGGCTGGGAAAGCAGTTAAGGATGGCCCAGAGCCTTGGGACCCTGTACCCGCGTAGGAGACCCAGAAGACTCTGCTCCTGGCTTCAGATCAGCTCGGCACTGGCCTTTGCGGCCGCTTGTGGAGCAAATCAGTGGACAGAAGATTCTCTGTCTCTCCTCCTCTCTGTGTATCTGCCTTTCTAATAAAAATAAATAAATCTTTTTTTAAAATTTCATTATTGGTGTGTGTGCAGCACTTAGCACAGTGTCCGTTGAACCAATGGATTAACATCATGTCAGGGCCAGAGCCATGGTATTCTAGGCTAAGCTAAGCATCCTATATGAGTGCCAGTTCGTGTTCTGGCTGCTCCACTTCCCATCCAGCTCCCTGCCTGTGGCCACCCTGAGCCTCAATAGAAGATGACCAAGTCCTTGGGCCCCTGTACCCACATGGGAGACCTGGAAGGAGGTCTGGGCTCCTGGCTTTAGACCAACCCAGCTCCAGCCACTGCAGCTACTTGGGGAATGAACCAGCACATAGATCTCTCTCTCTCTTTCCCCCCTCCCCCTCCCTGTAAACCTAACTTTCAAATAAAATAAATATATTTTAAAGATTTATTTATTTTTACTGCAAAGTCAAATATATATAGAGAGGAGGAGAGACAGAGAGGAAGATCTTCCATCTGATGATTCACTCCACAAGTGATTGCAACGGCCGGAGCGGCTCCGATCCAAAGCCAGGAGTCAGGAGCTCTTCCAGGTCTCCCACACAGGTGTAGAGTTCCAAGGCTTTGGGCTGTCCTCGACTGCTTTCCCAGGCCACAAGCAGGGAGCTGGATGGGAAGTAGGGCTGCCTGGATACAAAGTAGCACCCATATGGGATCCCAGTGCATTCAAAATGAGGACTTTAGCCACTAGGCTGCCATGCCAGGCCCCCAAATAAATGTGTGTGTGTGTGTGTGTGTTTGTGTGTGTGTGTGTTTAAGTAATACTGTGTCTGGTCTTCTATCTGTACAACTCAGGTATTTATTTTCATTCCTTTGAAAGTTAACCCCATTACTTACCACAGACACCATACACTTCCCTTCTGTAAATAGGACCACTTCTTGGGGTCATTATCAGAATACGTAAAATTACACATAGAAAGTTCTTGGCACTGAGTGTGATAACAAACTGAGTGTGGCAGCTTCTTGACCTGTTTTAATAACCTCCAGGGCACTGAGCTTACCACTGGGCACAAAGGCAGTGTCAGCACGTGCTTGTGATCGACTGCCATGCCCACTACAGCATAAAGAAAAGCGATAGCTAAGGCCCAGATTTCATGAGAAAGAGTGAGAATACAGCCAGCTCCTCCCCAAGTCAGGGTGAAAGCTATCTTCCTCCTCAGATGAGGTAGCTGCACCAGGCACTGGCAACACCATGGCCAAACTCTCTCCCTCCTCCATGGCTGCCTAGGTCTCACCACCTCATCTTACACTACCCCATGCCAGTTCCAATTAGCTGCCCAAAAAGGCCTCCACAAACTCCCTCTCTTACCCCACCCTTAAGCACAAGAGCCACATAATTTGATGCAAAGTCAGAACCCCAACCTCTCTGGTCTGCTTCCAACTTCTCACTCCTGAGCACTTCCCTTCCAGCCTTTCCACAGCAGTGGAGGCTACAGTTGGGCCATTAGAGATCAAGAGCATTAAAGCCAAAAGCAATCCTCATGGGGACTATGCAACCAGTGCCCTTTCTTCTCTGATCTCCATAGTCCCAGGAAAGCCCATTACCTTCCACCTCTTGACTCAGGAAATTCAGGATGAGGTATGTGGTTTCCCAGATGGGGAAAGAAGTGGCTCTCCCACCTCTAGTTCACAATAGAGGCCACTCTAGCTTCTCACACCACGTCAGCCACATTTATACATTATTCAGCCATCAACACAATCAAGTGGGAAGGAACTGCCTCCCCTCTGGCCCCAGCCAAGACTCCTCCTCCAGGAAGGACTTAAATACATGGAATTCTATAGCACTTGATATGTAGGTTTCACCTTTTCCTATAACTTCACAGTGACCAATATAGCATTTGT